CTGTTATGATGGCCGATGCAAGCAGCACGGAAGAAAGGATGGCTGAAATGGAAAGGAAACTCGCTGTGCTGATGAAGACGGTGGAAGAAAGAGACTATGAAATCGCCTCCCTGAAGAATCAGATTGAAAACAGAGATGTTGCTGAGTCGAGTCAAACCTCTGCTCTCAAGATAAATGATAAGGGAAAGACTATTGCTCAAGAAAATCAATCGCAATATTCCACTTCAATCGTTTCGTTGTCTATTCAGCAGCTCTAAGATATGATCACGAACATGATTAGAGCGCAATACAGCAAACCTTCTCAAAGCTCCCTCTTGTATTCTAAACCATATACTAATAGGATTAATGATCTGAGAATGCCTGCTGGATACCAACCTCAAAAGTTCCAGCATTTCGATGGAAAGGGCAATCCCAAGGAACATATTGCTCACTTCGTCGAAACTTGTGAGAATGCTGGCACAAGAGGCAATCAACTGGCCAAGCAGTTTGTCTGAATGTTGAAGGGAAACACCTTTGATTGGTATACTGATCTTGAACCTGAAACAATCGAGAGTTGGGAACAGCTTGAAAGATAATTCTTGAATCGCTTTTACAACACAAGGAGAACCGTCAGTATGATGGAGCTCATCAGTTGCAAACAAAGAAAAGGTGAACCGGTTGTCAAATATATCAACCGGTGGAGAGCTCTAAGTCTTGACTGCAAGGACAAACTCACGGAAGTATCTGCTGTGGAAATGTACACCCAAGGCATGAACTGGGGACTTCTTTATATCCTTCAAGAGATAACAACTCGTGCTCATGACATGGAGATAAGTATTGCTAGTAGAGGTAATAAAGAGCCTCTAATCTGAGATGTGAAGAAAGAGAAGAATGAAGAGCAAATAGAAGATCTCCAAGGGTTCTACGAAGGAATCTATGGTTGTTAACACGACCCCTCTCAAATTTTCCTCGAAAGAAAAGAAAAAGAAAAGAAGATAGAAAAGCGACTAGATGGAAACGTAAGACGTCGCCTATCTCTAGAAGAAAGACAAGAAAAGTTTTATCCTTTTCCAGATTCTAACCTTGCAGATATGTTAGAGCAACTACTGGAAAAGGGACTCATAGAACTCCCTGAATGCAAACGACCCGAATAGATGGGAAAAACAAATGATCCCAACTATTGTGTATATCATCGAGTTATTAGTCATCCAATGGAAAAATGCTTCGTTTTGAAAGAACGAATCTTGAAGCTTGCTCGAGAAAAGAAGATTAAGCTGGATCTTGATGAAGTGGCCCAAACAAATCATGCTGCAATAATCCCAAGTTCTGGCGGCCAATTGTCTATAATCTTATTTAGTGACGAAGAAGTGGTTTGGATCCAATTTGGGACCCTCGAACCTATAGCCATTTTGTCCTGACATAAGGCTCATAGGAAGAACTCCCAAGAAAAAGATGAATTTACAGAGGACGGAGAAGGAGAATAGACTCTTGTAACTCGTCGAAAGAAGAGAAAATAAAATTTTGTTAAGAAAGAGTCTCGCCTATTTTGAGACCATAAAAGAAGAAGCGGAACTCAGAAGAAGAAAGGAAAGAAAAATTTGAGGAAACTTAAACTGGTTGTGGAAGAGAACAAATATATTTCTCGACCTCAACAAATGATTACTTTAGAATATTTCTTTCCATTAATTTTCCTTAATAATAATCAAGAGGAAATCTCTGAAACAGTCACCTGTCACACTATCATTGTGACTGACATTGATAATGCTTCTACAAGTTCAACAGAAGCAATGACAAAGCTGGAAGATCTGTCATCTTTCAACGTAAGTGATTTGTTGTCGCTTCCTCGAAAGGTAAAAAATATTCTTATTGAGGCGTTGAAAGATTCTAACATTCCAATCTCTCAAGCAAACACATGTGCTTCATGTTGTATGTCTATTAGCTTCACAGATGAAGATTTGTTGCTTGGGTCAAAACCCCATAACAGACCATTATTTGTTTCAGGATATATTCGAGAACAAAAGGTCAGCCGAATTCTTATTGATGATGGCTCAGCTGTCAATATAATGCCCAAGTCAACTATGAAATAACTATGCATTTCGATTGAAGAGTTATCAAATAGTAAACTGGTGATCCAAGGCTTCAATCAAGGTGGTTAGCGAGTAATTGGCATGATCCGTCTTGAACTCAGCATTGGGGACTTAAAGGCTATCAATCTATTCCGCGTCATAGATTCCAGGACCACCTACAAGTTATTATTAAAGCGCCCTTGAATTCATGGAAATGGAGTAATAACATCCACACTGCATCAATGTTTCAAATTTTATCAATATGACATTAAGAAAATTGAAGTTGATACGAACCCGTTCTCGGAGGCTGAGTCTCATTTTGTAGATGCGAAATTCTATATGAAGACAGATGTTATAGGGGAAACTATACCGACAGAAATCCCCTTGATCAAGAGCTGTGATAAACCTAAGTCCAAACAACTGGAAGATTCTTCAGCCAAAAGATTAATCAAAGAAGTAAATACTTCTGATGTCCAAAAGAATGAAACATCTACCAACGCCACAAAGTTATGGCCTTCGAAGGTTGCCAAAGCGCCAAGTGCTCCTATCCTTCATGTCCCTTTATCTCGGTGAAAGAAGAGTGAATCACCATTTATGGAATGCTCGGGAAACCTAAAGATCGGTGATGTAGAAATCTTGAAAGAGAACTTCACCACGCCTCTTACAAAGTTAACAAAGCAAGAGGCTAAAAAGCTCGAGGACGACCAGATAAAGGTGATCTTGCCAGAGAAGCGAACGAAAGATGGATTTGACCCAAAAGCATATAAGCTTTTGGCAAAAGTAGGCTATGATTTTACAACTCATACTGAGTTTAAAAGCCTAAGGATCTTCAATGAAATACCTAAACTTTCTTCAACCCAGAAGAAGTTGCAAACAAAGGTCGCAGACACGAACCATATTACGATAGAAGAAGCTGACGACCTTGAAGAAAATAAAGAAAGTGCTAACCAAAGGGTTTCTGCCTTAGATCGCATCAGACCGCCAGTTGCACGTTCTTTGATCGTCGAAAGATTAGGTGCGGGTACCGTAGAAGAAGAAGCTTCATATCCAGCTTTAAGTTCTACGCGCACTTCGGCTTTTCAGAGGTTAAGTATGGCCACAAGAGAAGAGGGAAGCTCACGTGTACCTAGTCCTTCTAAACGACCTTCAGTTTTTCGAAGACTAAGCTTTTCACCAACGAAAAATAAGAACAAATGTTCTGCATAAGTTTTTGAACGCCTGAGACATAAAGGGACAGGAGAAGCTTAAAAAAAGTGGCAACTTATTGAGATAAAAGGTGATAAAGAAATCTGTAATAGTGTTCCCTCCAGAATGAGAAGAATGACTCATATTTTTGTAAGTACGAAGGGCTCCTTGAAGGTAAAGTCGCATACTATCATCCTCACTAAACTGGCGGATGGGAGTGAAGAATATGAGGAAGATAAGGCCGAATGTTGTCATGTTAGAAGATTGAAGAGGCCTTAGACATTGAAACATCCGAAGAAGATGCCGAAGAAGCTCCATCATCGTTAGAAGATGGCAACCAGTCAACAATTGACGAACTTAAGGTAGTAAATCTTGGCAAGATAGAAGATCCACGTCCAACTTTCATACGTGCGTCGCTTACTTGTGATGAATAAGGTGAATATATAAACCTACTAACCACAGACAGAGATATTTTTGCTTGCTCATACAAAGAAATGCTAGGATTTGATCCGAACGTGGCAGTCCATCACCTTGCAATTAAACAAGAATATCGGCTAATAAAACAAGCCCAACGATGATTTCGACCAGAACTTATACCTCAAATTGAAGTTGAGGTCAATAAATTGATAGAGGCAGGTTTCATTGGTGAAGTGAAATACTCAACATGGATAGCAAACATTGTCCTTGTGAGAAAGAAGAAAGGCCAGGTTCGTGTGTGCGTTGATTTTCGTGACTTAAACAATGCATGTCCCAAGGATGGTTTTCCACTACCAATCACTGAAATCATGGTTGATGCTTCTACAGGACATGAATCCTTATATTTCATGGATAGATCATCAGGATACAACCAAATTCGTATGGCACTCGAAGATGAAGAAATGACAGCATTTCGAACTCCGAAAGTGATATATTGTTATAAGGTAATGCCCTTCAGACTAAAAAATGTTGGCGCCACTTATCAGTGCGCCATGCAAAAGGTCTTTGATGACATGCTACATAAACATGTCGAATGTTACGTTGACGATCTTGTGGTTAACTTCAAAAAAGCGACAAGATCACCTGGGGGATCTAAAAGTAATCTTTGATCGCTTGAGAAAGTATCAATTAAAGATGAATCTTTCAAGTGTGCATTCGGAAATACCTCGGGAAAGTTTCTTGGTTTCGTCGTAAGACATTGAGGAATCGAAATTGATTAGTCAAAGATTGACGCTATTCAAAAAATGCCAAGACCTAGGAACTTACATGAGCTGAGAAGCCTTCATGACCGTCTAGCCTATATAAAGAGATTCATCTCCAACATAGTTGGTCGATGCCAACCTTTCCAGAGATTGACGAAGAAGGATACAAGTTTCGAGTGGGATAAAGCCTATGAAAATGCTTTTGAAAGCATAAAAAAAATACTTACTTAATCCACCTGTCTTTGGTGCACCCATAGTAGGAAAGCCGTTGATATTATATATCACTGCACAAGAAAGATCGCTCAGAGCATTATTGGCGCAAGARGGAGAGAAAGGGAAAGAGCAAGCCCTTTATTACTTGAGTAGAACCTTGATCGGAGCTGAGCTAAACTACTCTCCTATCTAGAAGATGTGTCTTTCTCTCTTCTTCRCCGTCGATAAATTAAGGCACTATATACAAGCCTCACGATGCATCTAGTTGCTAAGGCAGATTCGATAAAATATGTCCTGTCTAGGTCGATTATTTCTGGACGTTTGGCAAAATGGGCAATTTTGCTCCAACAGTACGATATTGTTTACATACCGCAAGGCAATGAAAGTACAAGCATTGGCGGACTTCCTAGCAAATCATCCGGCCCCATCAGATTGGAAATTGTGCAAAGACTTGCATGATGAAAAAGTATTCTATGTTGAAATTAAGGAACCCTGGACCATATACTTTGATGGTGCACCACGAAGAGATGGAGCTGGGGCAGGTGTTGTCGTTTCACCTGAGAAACATATGTTACCCTATAGCTTCACACTTGGTGAATTATGTTCAAACAACACTGCTGAATATCAAGCGCTCATCATAGGACTTCAAATTTTCATAAAAATCGGAATAACATACATTGAGATCTACGGCGATTCGAAGTTGATAATCAACCAACTTCTGCTGGAGTATGATGTGAAGTACGAAGACCTTAAACCTTACTTCGTTTATGCGAGACGACTGTTGGAGAGGTTCGATGGAGTATCACTAGAGCATGTTCCTCGTTCGGAGAACAAAAAGGCAGATGCCCTAGCAAATTTGGCTACTGCTCTTACAATTTTAGAAGATGAGACGTTGCAGATTTCACTCTGCCAAAAATGGATCACCTCATTAATCGAAAGTGAGCATCAAGAAGCAAATGCTATATCAGTTTGCATCATTGAAGAAGAAGATTGGTGACAATCTATTATAGATTATCTTCAAGATGAAAAGCTTCCAGTAGATGTCTGAAATAAGACTGAAATACGTAGAAGAGCTGCTCGATTTATCTACTATAAAGATACTCTTTACCGACGCTCATTTGAAGGCCTCTTCCTTCGATGTTTGGGAAAGGAAAGAATCTGCTAATACATTAGAAGAAGCACACTCAGGAGTTTGTGGCGCTCACCAATCTAGACCAAAGCTCCATTTCTGATTAAAGAGAATGGGTTATTATTGGCCCACAATGGTTCATGATTCTATGGAATATGCGAAGAAGTGTGAAGCTCGTCAGATTCACGCTAATTTCGTACATCAGCCACCAGAGCCTCTACACCCCACTGTAGCTTCGTGGCCATTTGAATCTTGGGGACTTAATCTTGTCGATCCTATAATGCCCAAATCTTCAGCTAGACATTCTTACATACTCGTAGGGACTGATTATTTTTCAAGGTGGGCTGAAGTGATTGCGCTAAAAAAGGTAAAGAAATAGAACATTGCAAATTTCAACCGAACTCATATAATTTTTCGGTACGGTATACCTCAACGAATTGTCACTGACAATGGTAGACAATTCTCCAATAGTGTGATGGACAAACTATGCGAAAAGTTTAGCTTCAAGCAATATAAATCATCCATGTATAATGCTGCAAAGAATGGGTTGGCAGAAGCATTCAACGAGACGTTATGCAACTTGTTGAAAAAAGTGGTCTCCAAGATAAAAAGAGACTGGCAAAAGAAGATAGGTGAAGTGTTATGGGCTTATCGAACTACTAATTGTACTCCTACAGGAGCTACGCTTTACTCTTTTGTTTATGGTGTAGAAAGTATCCTTCCATTTGGAGAGAGAAATTTCATCACTACGAATGGCTGTGCTAAAAGGTTTAACCACTGAAGATAATGCAAAATTACACCTTTAAGAGTTAGAAGCACTTGATGAAAAGAGACTTGATGTGCAACAAACATTGGAATGCTATCAGGCTCGAATGACCAAAGCCTTCAATAAAAATGTTCGGCCTCGGTCATTTCAGGTTGGTGATATGGTGCTTGCTGTTCGAACACCTATTATCACGACACGTCACACAAGGAATAAGTTCACACCTAAATGGGACGGACCCTACATCATTAAAGAAGTCTACGCAAATTAAGCATATAAGATCATTGATAAAGATGGATTGAGAATTGGTCTGATTAATGGCAAATTTCTTAAAATATTTTATGCGTGAAATGTAAACACTCCTGATCGTAAGAAGTCTATGCAAGGAGGTGTCGTTTTATTGAGGAAAATTTTTTATAAAACCTCTTGCCATGCAAGAGGTATTTAAAAAAAAATTAGTTTTTTGAAAACTCCGTGCCATCGGCAGGGAGGTGTTATTTAAAAAAAAATTGAAAATCCTCCCATGGGAGGTGTTAATTTAAAAAAAAAAAAATTGAAAGCTCTATGGAGCACGGAAAAGTTAAAAAAAATAAATAAATAAATAAAAAATTCGGCAAGTGTTTAAGGATTAAAAAATTCTTACTCTTTGTCGATGGAAATAAGATGGACGAACAGAGGAGGGTAACCTCGATGATAATCCAAAGCTACGTAAAAAAGGGAAGAAAGTGAATACTAGAAGCCAAGAATTTAAGAAAAAAAAAAAGGGAAGAAATTTTAAAGTCAGCCTTTTCACTGGACTTCTGCTGTGCTTCTATAAATGCACCTGAAGGCTCAATTTATAGGCAAAAAGTTGGGGTTAAAACCATAATAATAATCCAAATCTCAATTCAAATAAGATTCCTTTTTCAAATTATGGTTGGAAATTTGATTGGATTCTTAATTTAAATTTGACCCAAATCAAATCCCAACTCGAATATGATTTCTTTTTCAAATTATGGTTGGAAATTTAATTGGATTTTTAATTTAATTTGACCAAAATCAAATCTCAACTCAAATATGATTCCTTTTTCAAAGTTTGGTTGGAAGTTTGATTGGATTCTTAAGTTGACCCAAATCAAATCCCAACTCAGATAGGATTCCTATTCAAATTCGAAATTGAAATCTTGTGGGATTTTAACTCAAATCCGCTCCCAAGTGGGATTCTTCATTCAGTCTAAATTTGATTGGATATCAAATTTAAATCCTTTTCAAATTCATCTAAAATTTGTCTTATATTCCAACTTTTAAATTACGTTGGATAAATTTCATATTTTCAAATTTGATCCAAAATCCAAATTTGAACCATAAATCCAACGTTTAAATTAAAGTTGGATAAATTCAAAAAGAAAAAAAAATTTGAATTCGTCATAAATTTGAATTTGAATTATATTCCGACTTTTAAATTGGGTTGGATCAATTTCATATTTTCAAATTTGATCCTAAATTCAAATTTGAACCATAAATCCAGCGTTTAATTTAAAGTTAGATAATTTCAAAAAAATTCGAATACAGCCAAAATTTGAATTCGAATTATATTCCTACTTTTAAATTGGGTTGGATAAATTCCATATTTTCAAATTTGAACCATAAATCCAACGTTTAATTTAAAGTTAGATAATTTCAAAAAATTTTGAATTCAGCCTAAATTTGAATTTGAATTATATTCTGACTTTTAAATTGGGTTGGATAAATTCCATATTTTCAAATTTGATCCAAAATTAAAATGTGAACCATAAATCCAGCGTTTAATTTAAAGTTGGATAATTTCTAAAAAATTTAAATTCAGCCTAAATTTGAATTCGAATTATATTTTGACTTTTAAATTGGGTTGGATAAATTCCATATTTTTAAATTTGATCCAAAATTCAAATTTGAACCATAATCTAGCTTAATTTTTGGGTAAATTCAAAAAAAATATTGAATTCATCCCAAATTTGAATTTGAATTATATTCCGATTTTTTAAATTAAGTTAAAATTTCATATTTTCGAATTGAGCCAAAATTCAAATTTGAAATCAAATCAAACGTTCAATTAGTTGAATAAATTCCAAATTTTCAAATTCATCCCAAATTTGAATTTGAATTATATTTTGACTTTTAAATTAAATTCAAAGTTAAAACTTTTGAAGATAATTTAAAATTCAATGGATAAATTTCAAATGTCTCATTTCAAATTGTGCAAATTTATTGTCAATTGGACCTACCATGATATGTTGGTCCACAATTATTTTTTTTCAAAATTACGACTTAAATTCATCTTTTTGATTGCACAATATTTTCGAAATTCAACCACAATTATGTTTGACATATATTTCGAAAAGGGGCATTTGTAGAACCATAAATTTTGGGTCAATTATAAACGACCATGTCATTATCTATTTTATTTAGAGATTAATTCTATATTAACCCTAAATTAAAATTAAAGATAAATTGACAATTAAAATATGTAATTGGGTTAGAGAATGAGTTTCAAATCAATTTGGTTCACAAACTTAGCCCAAAACTCAATTTACCATGAGAACACGTGGATTAATATTTAAATTTTAATTAAATTTAAATCTATTTAAAGAATTGGGCTTGACCCAAAACTATCCAAGTTCAATGATCCACCAAAGCCTATGGAAACCTCTATAAATAGAGGAGACCTCATTCATTTTCGAGGTTCAGAATTTCATAATTGAGAGAATTCACACAAAATTGAAAACTCTATGAAGATTTAAAGATTCGAACACCAACTTGAAGACTTTGAAGACTTTCGAAGAATATAGAAGTTTGATCTAAATTCAAGAACAAGCATTTCGATCTTCACATCAAGTTCGAGTGAAAGAATCAGAGGATAAACATTAGAGATTGAATCGACTATACAACACATATAAACAATATAAAAGCTCAACTCCACGAAATATAATTTCTCCGTAAATCTCGTGTGAACAAAATATTACACTATACTACTTCTATAATATTTATTTAAAAATCATGACTAAAGATAATAGCATTATTTCTTAATGCTATTAGAGGAGAAAATTGATGAATAATTCATATTCCATATATAAATTTAAAAACTTGGCAATAATAAAATTTCAAAATTACCATTTAAAAACTAAAAAAAAGTAACAATTCTTATAAGAGGAATTAATACCTTTATTTCAAACAAAAAAAAATCTCAAAGATTATTCACTTTTTTTTTTAATGTGTGGGATCAAACCACGTTGTAAGATTCAACAACGTTTAGTTATAAACAACAATACCTTGCAACTCCTACAAATCAAGATACTCAATCATTGCAATATGACACTACTAAATCTATAAAATTTAGAAGAAGGCATCAATCAAGAATGAAAAGAAGCAAACTAAGAGAGAGCTGAATTGGCGTAAAAAGATATAAAGAATAAATCTTGTTCACACGAGATTTCCAGAGAAATTATATTTAGTGGACTCAAACTTTTATGTTGTTATATATTTGTCTATGTTAACTTTTAGCGGAAGAGACAAAGTAGAGAGAATAACAAATAGGGTTCAATTGAATTGAATTGAATTGTTTGATACAACCCTAATGACCTATTTATAATACTATAATTCATAATCATAATAGGAATAGGAAATTTAATTCAAATAATTTAATCTGAACTAAGGCCATGTTTACTTATCAACAATGGTAATGGAAATCAATCGTAATGAAAATCAATTGGAATTGTAATGTTATTTCATTGATGTTGTTTACCATAAATTTTCTGGAATCGTAATCAGAATTCATTTGATGTTGTTTACTAAAACTATCTGGAATCGAAATCGAAATCAGATATATGACAATTACTAATATACCATTTTCTACTTTTTAGCTAATTACAAATATATTATTGTGTTAATCCTTTTTAAATTACAATAATAATAAATTTTAATTGAATTTATTACTGTATTACTATCGTAAATATTTTTTTTATTATAACAATTTATCTAATATTAATACGTAATGAATAATTAAAATAAAATTATAATAAATAAAATATTTTTTATTAGAAGAACCAAACTTTAATATAACATATTATTAAGTTTTATTATTCTAAAC